GCTGCCATTGAAATTTGAAGTTGTCATCAATGTCAATTTTCTCGATTAAATTGATCCCGAATTAAATTTGTAAAAATGTGACAATCAAATCATTATGCCTTCCTTTTTTTGTTGACCATCTCTAAATGAAATGGGCCTTTGAAAATTTGACAAAGTCAAAGGCCTCGCAGGGTTGCCAAAGTTCACAAACAGTGAGAAAAATCATCATTGCTTCATCTGAAGCCAATAACCATCCCAAATTTGCCAATGAGTTGTGATGTAACAAGCAAAGAGTGTTAGGCTCTGGCCATTCAATTTATCTGCCATTGAAACTAAAACTTATTTTTACATTGTTTTATCTTTAAAAAAAAAAAATCTACACAAATATAAATAAACAAAAACAAAATAACAAATATGGTCACATAATGATGATGGGAAGATACAAACAAATGAATGATCAAATGAAAATAGATGAAATATTTACATATAAATTATAAAAAAATTACAAAATTTACCCTGTTTAATATTTAACACAAAAAATCATGTGACAGTGAGCTCTTATGATTAGCTTTCACAGTGAGTCTAGAATATTCGTGTTTTTGACTTCTCTCTTCTGTTCAATGACTTCACTGGACAGCTGATAATTCAATAGCCCAATTATTGCTCTGTATATTAAAGCTTACAAGTCTTAAATTGAAAGATAAACCCTCATTTCCATAAGAAGTTGCCTGAAGCATGAGTTGAGCTCTTGTTAAAGATGGGTTTCCTTATATTTCAGTATCAAATTAAGCAAACTGTTTGATTCATTGGTGTTTCTACTGAATTATCATGTATTCTTAATCAAACCATTATGTTCTTATTGCATATAATTAAGAGTTTTAACCAATCATAAATGTCCATGTGTGTACAGTCTGGATAAACAAAAATGACTTTTTGACCTTTCTTAATCAGTCACGCATTGGAATTCTGCTGGTAATTCTCTTCTAATTTCGCTAATTATGAAATAATTATGGAAATTAGAACACCTGTACTTTCTATTCATATAAGTATTAGCATTTTCATTTTTGTAAATAAAAATAAGGGAACCCATCTTTAAAAGGACAAGATTTCAAAATGGATACAGTAGAGTCTTTGAATTCTTGAAGCCTACATGAATATAGCGTTTTTGCACTTACATGAAAGTCAACCAAAGTTCACAACAGACCCTCATGTATTTTCTCTTAGTAGAAATCCAACTCAAATAAATTTTCATACAATAGTCTCTTGGAAGTCTTATATTTATCTTGATATTTTATCTATCAAGGGCAGTAACTCTAGATAGTTTCAAACCATACTAAGGGGTTGATTGGAGAGTTCTGAACAGGCTCCATTTGTTCCAATTCTGCCCCCAATCGAATGGTATGTCACATTCAAAATTTTCCCATCTACTTCTTTCTCCGCTATTTTGAATTCTGTCTGCACCTACCGGTAGTATATTTTCAGCTCATATTGAACGCGTTCTGAACTCTGTTTCAACTTGTTTTATTGAACGTCCGGTTGATTTCATGAACTTTGATTGTGCAGAAGTCACTAATCGAGCTACCCACTGGCTTTTATAGTTGCTCTGCTTTTGAATTGTTTGTTCATCACTTAAAAAATCTTTCTGACAACATTCAAAATTCTTGTTTCAGATCTTATGGCACCAAATGATATTTTACATATATAAGCTTATCCAATAAGATTTCAGTGAATATGTTTCCAAGGCTTATTAAATCTGTAACTTATATCCCATAGTGTGTCTTTTCGTTGATCACATGAAACTAACACAGGCAGTTCATAATCTTCGGAACCCAGGCACATCTTACTTCCTTCTACCTGGATCTGTCTTCCCTAAAGTAGAAATAATAATTTTATTTAAAGTTTGCAAATGGAATTACAAATTTTTCTCATTGCTTTGACTGACTGTTGGTAACTATTTATAAGACAGTGGACGTTGACAATTTTTATCAAATCTATACTTGGATGTTCATTTCAATCAATCACAGCACGTCATGCTGAATCTGTGTCTAAATATCCACTATGAACTATGGGAAAGCAACACCCAAAGTAGAGCAATATGACCAATCAGATTAACAGACTGCCAATACTCACTTGTAAAAGTGATTCTCATTGGCTGGAGAGTGGCTTGAAATGTCAACAGTATGTGACTTGGTATAAATCTTGTTAGATTTCAATGAAGACCGATAAAAAAAAAATAATGAAGCGAAATTGTAATGCTTTTTATTACCTGAAGTTTCCAGAGCTGTTGACCACAAGATCCAAAATGGATGTCCTCTTCTGTACTAACTATACAGTCTTCAGAACTGTCCCTTCCTGATTTATTTTGATTCAGTTTTAAATCACCATGGAAACTTAAACTGAACATCTGCTGAAAGAAAAGACAAATTAAAAAATTAGCCATCCTTATTCTCAGAAACAGAATTTTTAAAGCTAAGCTAATCAGTAATAGTGTTCATAGCTCTTTCTATATTTGAGCCTTCAAATCCTTAAGTGTGTCCAGAATAATCTGTGTTCGATAGTTTCTTGAGACACTGTTATATATGTAAAGGGATAGAAAATTATATTCTATTTTTTAAGGAATTATACAATTTTCATACATTTCTAGTACTTATGAAGACTATTTAGAAATATTCAAAACCAAAATCAACCACTAAAAATCCAAACATGTCCCTTTAAAATGAATATTATGTCCCAATAAGGCATTGTGTGTCAAGATAGCAGCATTGGTACAATGTATAGTACCGGGTACTGAGAGTATTGCTTTTTTCTCCCTGACCTACCTGAGCATTATTTTGACCTTGACAGGCAGCTAATATAATTCTACCATTTGATTGGACGGTAAGGCACCTAAGGGACTTCTGATGACGGAACTGAAAAATAAATTATATGGGTAATTGTATGGGTAATTCCTGACAAACTGTAAATTAAATTGGTGTGTGTTGATGATGTATTTTATATATCTGATAGTATCAATTTACACCATTCCAATTTTCAATCAGACGTCTGTGGTTCCTGTTATTCCACTAAAACTAACTGTTTGATGACATCACTAATCCATATATGATAAAGCATATTTTGCGATAGGTCACTTCATAAACACTTAGTTTTAGTGGAATTTCAGGAACCACTGACATTTGACTGAAAATTGAAATGGTGCAAATTGATGCTATCAGTGTCCCAGATGCACATAAAAAATTTTAAAAACCTCTTCATAATCCCTTTAAATAATACCCCAACTAACTTAAATCAAATGTGATCAACACAACTCACAGACTGATTAAAAGTTACTGGTAAATGAGTTCAGATTATGACAAGTAGACCTACTTGAGTGTCACTCGACTGGTAACAAGAAAACTTTCATACTATAGACTTTTGTTTATTGTAGATTACTCGTGGGTGTTTTTTGAACTTAATACTAACTATGCTAACTTCATCTTATCTTGTATTGAACATTTATCTCTTTATTTGTGACCTTGGCCAATTCTTTACATAGAAGTTTTTAGGAACTTCTTCACTCTTAACACCAAAAGAGAAAAAGGATTTCTATAGTGAGAAATTATATCTTATGAAGTGTGATAATGGATTATGAAACACAAATTTTACTACAATTGGAGATATTTTCAAATAATTCATTGGATGCTGAATATAGTAATCAACTCTATATTTGTATGTATACTTGTATTTTCTTATTCCTCTTTGTACACCTATGGTATAGTTTTTGACGATTGCTTTGTCAAGTCACATAAACTAGCGCCTTTTATTGAACTAAACTGAATCCTTTGACCATGAGGGTTTTTTTTTGCTTGGTGAGCATGCTTGTCATAATTTCCCACTGGCTTAATTTTTTTTTAGGAGGCATGGCCAATTGCTTATTAAAGAGGCAGTACATAAAATCTTCATTATCAAAAATATTGTAAATTATACCTGGAAATATTTCTTAAATATGCTATTGACATCTATGCATCTACTTGATCAAAGTGAATTTGTTTTAAAGGGTTAATTAAAAATGGAGCACACCATTTGTTAATTAAGTAGTTTTGGTGTTTGGCTTTATAATGGCTGATATGATTAGTTTAAACCTTTAGAATACGTAGGAGACAAAATTCTCTATTATATGCGTTTATTTAGCTCAAATTTTGCTACAGTAGTTTTTTTTACACCTTTGAAAAAGCATAACAAACTTTAAAAGTTAAATTAATGGCTGGATTTTTGACCCACCAAAGAAAAACCAGAATGGCCCGTTAAAGATAGCGCAATATTCATAAGGAGTCCAAAAAGATCGAAAATTAAATATATCTTACCTCTCCAAAAGCTTGACTAGAGTATTCAGGGACAGATAACTCTGGAATGATATTATTTAAATACCACGAGAAACTTTGACATTGTAACTTTTCTCGTAACTTTTTTCTCTCTGTTACATCTTCTGTATTGTTTGTTAAATTCTGTAACAAATTTGGAAAATATTGACTTATTGGACTTGATAAATCTAGACTAGTTTAATTGTAGACTCAGTTGTCGCACAACCTCTAAAGGACTGATAACAGAATGATATACAAATGGTTTCACATAGAAGCCCAGGATTTCTTAATTGTACTGTCCATCAAAAGAAATTGCTTGCTAAAAAAATATTATGCATATAAGCAGATATAACCTTCAAAAATCAGTCTAATTACAATAAGACCAAACTTTCACTTTTATTTTTAATATAGCCACTTCAGTTAGGGTCTAAAGACATCCCTCTTGCATATTTTTCTCTTTGATGATACAGCCAGCCAATCGAATTTCTGCTTTCTCCAACCCTGGAATTTTGTGACACGAACAAAAGATGTATTCCTAGAAGCAAATTCCTGGTGTTCGAGAATACAGGAAATCTGATTGGCTGGTGGTATCCTCAAACTGACAAATGTTCAAGAGGCCCGTCTTTAGACCCTAACTGAAGTGGCTGAATTAAAAATAAAAGCTGCTATAAACGGAATGAACGTTTTTATAAATTTTAATATCACTAAATAAATTTATGGAATAAGATCAAAGCAAAAAGAATTTCTTACAAGAGTGTTATAGAAAATATGATTATAATCATCCATCCAAACTTCAGCTACTCGTGCTAGATTCCTAGAGACTGTCTGCTGTCCACCTTCGGGAAAGCTATGGGGTAAAATACTCCTGAAGACATGTCCTACACGACAACATGGTAAAATCTCTAGCTGACCGCCACACATCCAGGTCTGGAAAAAACAATAACAATGTAGTATATCCATGTATATCATTCAGATCAAAATAAAAACAACTACGTTATGTTATAACTCAAATATACAATGCTATCAAATCAGTAGTAAAAATGAAATGAATGGAGTTTTTCATCCTTCTCTTCTGCACCTAACTTTGCTAATGTAGTGTGCAATGAGGGAAATTTTGCCAGGACAGTTACGCCAACTTGCATTTTTGATTTAATTTAAGCATGAAGCAATAAGTCCCTCTGATAAGCATTACTGAAAACTCTGAACCCATCGAGAAAATTGTCCCAATTTGCTTTAGCCTTACCCTGAAGCTGAGTTCGAGATTTTCGCCACCCCAGATATCCATTTTATCATCATAGGCTCCAAGCTGGTAAAAATACTCTCTGTCTACAGCAAACAATCCTCCACTTATAGTTGGGGTACTAGAATCAAACATTTGAATGAATGAAAATGTGAAACAAACAAAATTAGCTGTGTGAACACTCTGAAAGGGATGGCTAGGTTGTGTGGTCACAAAATAGTACTCTCTCACAAAATCCCAGACCTGGAGAGGGCAGAAATTTGATTGGTTAAAGCAGAGGTCATCAGATTAGGTCAAAAGTTTAGAGTGAGGAACGTTCAAGATGTCAGTCTTAGGACCTTAACTGAATTGGCTATATAAAAAATAAAAGCTTATTTAAATGAAAAACAGAATGAATTTGGTTCTCAGGAAGTGGTGTTTCTGATAACAAGCTTGTGATCAGTACAGTGTATTGTGTGCATTGAAATCTAGAATTTACCTGATAGGTTGATGAGGTGAGATTCGTAGCTGGTATTTATTGAAAGGTATAGGCTGCCAGATGAACTCCAGATTCCAGTTAAAACCACCTTGAAGATTGGCTGGTGCCTCTACATATTCAAATGTATCAGGTCTGACAGAATCGATGTAAGGGCTCACGATCTGGAATGATAAAGAAAATAATAAATGTCCCTGGTCAAAAAATTTATCCAAATTTTCGAATATAACATCAGGTCAGGTCAAAAGGTTATTGGTTATTGGGATAATAAGCAAGAGGGCCGTCAATAGACTTTAACTACAGTGGCTATATTAAAAATAAAAGCTAATAAAAATGTTTGGTCTTAGACTGATGGCTTACTGAACCTAAATGAGTGAAATAGGACGAGACTATTAAGCCCAGACTTGTTTTGTCTGCTATGCACAGGCGTATGTATCTATATGCATGTGCGAAATTGGTAAGTTGCAACATACCAACTACATATGTAATTAACCATGCGTAAAGACATAATCCAGCCAATGACTGTCAGGAAATAATAAGTACCCTGATGTCATTTTTGCTAATTCAAGATCCGTACAGTATCTGTGAGCACAAAAAAATCTCTCAATTTTCTGTCAGTCTGTGGTATGTGAAGACTTTTGAGTATGTGCAATTCGGATCGTGGCTAAATGGAGTTGTTTTAAATAAAATTTGAAGGAGCAATTTTTTCATGCTAACAGATACATACCATGATTGCGCAGCTACAGACAAAAGGATTCTGGGCTTAAATGAAACAAACTTTATAGCTTCATTTAAAAAGAAGCAAGCTTACCTTGTGTCTATTTTGAGCTATTGAGTAAACCAGAGGTTCCAACCATTGCTGGTTACATTCACAATGTGAGTCAAGAAAAACTAAAATGGTACCATTGGCATTTTTGGCTCCTGCAACATAGAAAAATTATTATTATGGTACCAGTATTGATTATCAGCAATCCAAGAAAGTGTGCATGAAAATCTTATCTTGAAAACTTTTGAATGGGTACAGATAATCTGGGAAAGTTTTGTGCCAAGAGGTTTGGTCAATGAAGAACTGGAAAAGTGCTTCAACATATGAAACAACGTATGGTTATTACATGGAAATAACACACATGAACGTATTTCACAGCCATTTTGAATTTCTTCCTCGAATTAATAAGTCAAATTTTTAAAAGGCAATGATATTTCAACTAAGCCTTAAAATCACATTTAAAGATGGGTTTCCTTATATTTTAGTATCAAATTAAGCAAACTATTTGATTAATTGGTGTTTCTAATGAATTACTATGTATTCTTAATCACATCATTATGTTTTCATTGCATATAATAAAGAGTTTTAACCAATCATAAATGCTTTTCTTGATCGGTCACTAATTGAAATTCTGCTGGTAATTCTCTTCTTATTTAGCTAATTATGAATTAATTATGTTAAACAGTTAAACGGTATTTTTTCAAGTCATTGGAACACCTTTCTATTCATATAAGTATTAACATTTTCATTTTCATAAATGGTCAATTTTCATAAATGAAAATAAGGGAACCCATCTTTAAATGCGATTTAAAGGATTGATTGAAATATTATAGCCTTTTTAGAAATTTGACTAATTAAGTCCAAGAAGTGATTCAAAATGGTTGTGTACTAAATTTGTGTGTCCATGAAAGAACAATACATAGTTTCGTATGAGAACTCCAACACCCTCAATCAGTCCCTTTTGTGAGCCCTGGAATATGGAATAAATTGACCATAAAATGAAAGTTAACAAAATAGATATAGAATATCTGATAATAGGATTATGGGCCTTGTTTAAAATCCTCCAAATAAGAGGCTTATTTTTCTATATTTCTGTCTGTAGCTGAACCAACATCTATCTAATAAGCTATCTGAAGTTCGATCAAGTCTAAGACAAGTCATTTCAAATTATATAAATTGTGGAGGACAGCTTTCACAAACTTGCAATTGTACAGCAAAATATATTCATAAGATCTGTCATTTTCCCCAAAATTACACAAAACTCTAAATTGGATTTGACATTTATATTTATTTGGGGAATATCTATAGAAATTTGATAACCAATATTCTTTATCTTGAATTTCTCATATGTCTATTTACACAACATATGGAAAAAATGCATGAAGGATCATTATCTGATTTTACTGGCTGATAAAGCTCAATTTCAGTCCAAGCATTTACATTTTTTCTGAATATTTTGAACACGATTTTGGCCTAGCTTAATCCATGTAATAATAACTTTAACTCAATTTACTGGCCGATCTGATTGACTTGAAAGAGCTCAATTTCAATCTACAGCATTTAAATTTTTTCTTAATATTTTGAACACGATTTTGGTCTAGCTTAAACTATATAATAATAACATGAGGCCTCCCTCAATTTACTGTCCGATCTGATTGACTTGACAAAGCTCAATTTCAGTCCAAGCATTTAAATTTTTTCTTAATATTTTAAACACGATTTTGGTCTAGCTTAAACCATGTAATAATAACATGGCCTCAATTTACTGTCCGATCTGAATAACTTGACATAGCTCAATTTCAGTCCAAGCATTTAAATTTTTTCTTAATATTTTAAACACGATTTTGGTCTAGCTTAAACTATGTAATAATATCATGAGGCCTCAATTTACTGTTCAATCTGAATGACTTGACATTTTCCGAATCAACAATTCCTTATCCTAAATCACAGACAACTGCATCCACGACCTATGTCAGGATTGAGCCAGGGATCAATTTCAGCCATATCGCATCACAGTTTGCAATTTCAAATTACCCTTTTTGCGCTCCAATATTTCGGATGATTTGCAAAAATTCAAATTTATCACGACGTTCTGCGAATCAAATTAAATTGTATGTTTGAAGGTTTACTACTGGAATATTTTAAAAAACTACCAGATTTTTAAGAAATGTGAATCAAAATGTCTACCTTACTTGGCCACTGGTGGCCTTACTGAGAATTCTAGAATTGTCAACTTAAAATAACACACAAAGGACAAGAAATTCTACAAAATGGATGGTGGAATTTCTGACACAATTTGAGTCGAATTCCAAGAATTAATGAACAAGTGGTGTGATTTGTCATCGCTCGGTAGTAACCAGTCATTTTTACACCCTAACTACAAATGAGAGCTGACAGGCAATCATCAATCAATATTCTGAACGGTCAGTTGCCTGTCAGAAACGTCACTAGAGATTTTACGCTGGTTTATCTGATCTGTAACGATGTCGATAAAACAGTCATTAAGCAGGAAAGCTCGTTAGTCAGTTAGTGGATGTGATACAGATAGCATCACTGATGGAATTTCATCAATAAATTGTCCTTGAGATGCACAGATAAAATTTTATTTTCACAAAACTCATTTTAAAGGGACAGTGTGGCCATCATTCCTTAGTCTCAGAAATATGAATTTATTTTATCTAAGCTAATCAGTAATAGTGTTAACATCTCACTGTCGAAATGTGAGCTTTCAAATCCATGTATGTCTAGAACTATCTGTGTTTGATTGTCTTTTTTTGAGACTTGTGTCATATATAGAAAAGAAATTTATATCGAAATAGAAGGTGATATTCTTAGTTTGAGGTATATTTGAATTATGCGATTTTTTAACATTTATAGCACTTTTATTTCTATTACCCCTTTTGTACGGAAGCGTATTAGGGCCATTCATTTTTTTTTTTTTTTTGGAATTTTCAAGTTAGTAACATACTAACTTGAAAATTCAACATACTAGCTTGAAAATTCAACATACTAACAACATACTAACTTGAAAATTCAACATACTAGCTTGAAAATTCAACATACTAGCTTGAAAATTCAACATACTAACATGAAACTTCATCATACTAGTTTGAAAATTCAACATACTAACAACATACTACCTTGAAAATTCAACATACTAGCTTGAAAATTCAACATACTAACTTGAAAATTCAACATACTGACTTGAAAATTAAAAAAAAAAAAAAAAGTGAATGGCCCTCATTTTTTTTCACTTATTTAAAGTTTCCTACAGGGCTGTTGATTTTAGAAATTACAACCGGATATTTTAACAATTTATTATAAATTTAAATATTTGTACCAATTTTCATAGCTAATTCAAGAAAAATCTTGAAAATTATGTGCATAGAAAATGTCCTATTGATCATAATTACAGCCAGACATTTTGGAGCTCTTATCAGACATGACTATCAAATGCAGATAATTCAACAACCCTTGTTTCCTCCCATTTCTAATACTCTGCAACTTCATATTGATTGTACCAGTGCATGTAATTTTAATGGCCGAGTTGGGAATAATGAAGGATTAGAATGATTCAATCAGATTGGAATGTTTATTTTATTGATTCATCTTTAATTATCATTTATAATTATTCAGTGGCAGCCATTTTGAATTATTGTTCTTTCAGCAGACGTCAAATTAATTATGCATTCCTTTAGTTTAATTTTGCTTAATGGTATGAAAGATGCAATTGATCTAATTCGAGAAATCTCTGACCATGGCCCCCTATTTTCTGACTTTTAGGGGAACTGATATCCATCTTAAAGGGATTCTAAGGAGGTTTTCAAAAAATTGAATGTGTATGGGGGACACTTATAGCATCAATGTGCACCTTTTAATTTTCAATCAGACATCAAGTGCAACTAAGGGCCATATACAGCGCTCGTACTTTACCTAAACTTTGACTAAAGTTAGACTTTAGGTATGCACCGGTCGATCTTTACGAAAGTCGTGCTTAAATTTGATTATCAAATGTAGAAAATGAAAGCCTTAATTCTAACTTTGTAAAGTTCGACTTTAGCCAAAGTTCAACTTTAGTCAAGGTAAGAGCGCTGCATACGGCCCCTAGTGTTTTTGTTGATGTCACTTAGCGTAAAGGGCCGAATGTGATACAAGCATATTTTGCTTTTAGTGATATCATCAATTATGACAGATAATTCAAATATTTTGCAAAGTACCAGCTGTTAGATAAGATCCTTGTGAACTCAAGTTATTATCCTTGAGAGGTTTGCGTTTATGACATCTCCACAGAGTTGCCTCATTTTGAATTCAGTCTTGACGGTTGTTCCCCCATTGAGTCAGTCTGCCCCTTATTTGTACCCCCAATCTCAGGAGGCTGGCACCACCACTGCCCTGCCCACATCTTTCATTTTGCAAAATTGCTTCTAGTACTGGCACCTTATCAGTGAATAGATGTATCATATTTCGATACTTGAATCCATAAAAAGTGGGGATTTTTATGTTAGAGAGGATCTTGTGATCCCAAGTTTGTAATACGTGTAATAAAATGGTTGTCTTTCTTCATCTTAATAATTATGGCTTATGCTCGCACGATATCAGCTTTGGACACAACGAAATCACGAGTTTGACAAGCAAAGTTTAAATTTTGACAAACACAGATCAGAGTTTGACAAGCTAAGATAGAGTTTTGAGATAAACTGGACAAGTTGATTGACAAGCGTTTTATTGGGTTTCCGATCTGAATGTTAACTTTCTGACACATTTAGCCCTCAAGACGTTATCCACAAATCTTTTGTCTTAGATTTTGGCGTCTTAATGAATGTTATGTCTTGATTTCATTGTCAATTAATGGCTTGTGATTTCTTCAATGTATTACCATAGCTATGTGGACTCTCTAAATGCGATACCCATTAAAAAAATAGTGTCTTCATTCATTTTTTTGCCAAATCTAGAAATATACAGCAACTCTATAACCTCAAGGAACCAATGCCATTGGAAAAATCTTTTTGAAGGTTTACTACTGAAATATTTTAAATTGCTACCGAATTTCTAAGAAATGTGAATTTATATTTAACTTTTAATAAATAAGATCACTATTATGGATGTACTACTACTTCCTTTAATTTTTGCAACGTTTCAATTCACATACAGGAATCTTTATCAAGCACAAAATAACAATGATACACAACAGAACAACAAGTAGGTGTGAATTGAAACGTTCTTATTTATTTAAAGTTTTATCTACTTCTAAATGTCACTTAGAGATGAAAATTTAACTTGATTAGCCAAATCTACAATTTGATACTCATCAAAGTTTTCAATCTAAATTGAACCCTGGTTTTCAGTCATCTGATTTTTGAATATTAGAATGTTTCTATATGTCTCTATATTAGTGAACAATTAGTATAAATATGATAAAATCTGAAAATACTACGTTTTAGTCTTCAGCGATGTGAAATGTACTAGTTACTGTCAAAAATGAAGGAAACTAGAGAAATAGTCCCTACAAAAATACAAACTTAAAAATAATTGACCTCTAACCCTGAGTGATACGAATATATTGTGTTTTTGCAGCGTCTTTTCCACATGGTTTAGTGAGGTTCTTAACATGATGTCATTTGCTTGGTTACATCGAGCTAATGGCAGCTGTGGGTTTCCGATCTCATTCAGCGTGTGATACTCCAATGACCTTGAATAAGTCATCTTCACTCATAAATCCAGTCGCAATGCTGTAAATGGGTACGGATAATCCGAGAAAGATCAATGCCAGGAGGTTTGGCCAAGAACCAGCTGGTAGCCAGGATCCTTAACTGTGAACCTAAGTTATCCTTGTAAAATATAGTTGTTTCTTTCTTTTTCTTTCTTGTGTCTATACTGCAATTATACCGCTCAAAAAATGTCCAAAATTAACGTGACTCGGTGAATAGTGGTAACTATGGCGACAATTGCATGATGTCCTACACGCTTTTACCATGCTTATGACAACCTTAACATGCTCTGGGCCAATTTTCCTTCGACGTAGCAGTGCAGTAAGAACGCCTTTCTGGTGTAACAGGGCCACAAAGAATGATACAAGATTGTTACTAGATACCAGTTAGTACTTAAAGATGGGTTTCCTTATTTTTTTAGTGTCAAATTAAGCAAACTATTCGATTAACTGGTGTTTCTAATGAATTAACATGCATTCTTAATCATATCATTATGTTCTTATTGCATATAGTAAAGAGTTTAAACCAATCATAAATGTCCATGTATGTACAGTCTGGATAAACAAAAAAAGACTTTTGACCATTCTTGATTGGACACTCATTGGAATTCTGCGGGTAATTCTCTTCCAATTTAGCTAATTATGAATTAATTATGGACATTTGAGACAAACTGGTATTTTTTCAAGTCATTAGAATACCTCTACTTTCTATTCATATAAGTATTAGCATTTTCATAAATGAAAATGAGGGAACCCATCTTTAAACAATAATCGATTATTGTTTGTAAAGATATGAGTTCAGTTATTCCTACGCCAACAATGATTGACAGTTTGACAGTCTTAGTGTCAAAGTTTGTGGTATTCTCTCTGTCGTAGATGGTAATGTTTGATCCACCAATGATACATGGTAGCTATGATTTATATCAGCTGAATTCTTGTTATTGATCATGATAACTACTCTACTATCTAAAACTATCAATATTACTAGCAATAAATACGTTACTGTTATTCATATCATCATTTTAATGGACCATGAAACATGTTGAAGCTCTTGAGAAATGAAACAAAATGATGATGGGGGGAGGGGGGGGTTAGTGTTGGAGGAGATTATTTGAAGATGAAGATGGCTTCTAATATGATAACACACAAACCTATTGAAATCGTCAAAAAAATAGTTATTCATAGCTTGCAGTGTGCAGTGAGGAAAATTTTTGCACAAACAGCTGCATTATCCTACTCTTTGACTAATACTGTCGAGGGATCTTTTAATGTGCACAGCCAGTAGCACGAGAGACCTATTGCTCCATTCGATCAACTAGACACTTTTTTCCTATCAGCTCTTCCAACCTGCATCACTGACAGGGGAAACCAGGTTGAAAAATCTGAAGGTATTATCTCGACCTATCCTAGGATTGAACCTTGGCCCTGTATTCTCGAAACGAACTTAGTGCTAGGATAGGTTCTTATCTTCTAACGTTGATTCTAGGACATCCTAGCGCTAAGATCATTTCGAGAATACTGGGCCAGGACCTTTATGTTAGCGAGCAAGTGTCTTAACTGAACCACTGTGGCTCCCATAGAAATTTCCAAGAGATTACAAGAAAAATACACGATAATACAGCCTTGATCAGCCTTGATCTCGTCAACCGACTGAACAACCAGAATTTATCACTTGACCCACGTTGAACCGTTTCTATTACAACTACTCAATCATTGATTGAACGAAATATTGATGTGAGGTTTTCAATAGAAAAGACACTTTTAGTCACTTCAGTAAATATTAGAGATGTTAGTAGTTTTTAAACAGAGTCAATAATGCCATCATCTCTTCGGAGTTTTTCTATGGAATCCGGATGATTGGTTTTTCTTTCATGGAATCTTCAGAAAATTGTTAAAAATAGACTTTCATACTGAGCTGAGTTTTTCGTTGAAATGAAATGGAGTTTTGTGTGCTACTTTTCTGCAACTATTTGTGGCATTAGGGGATTTGCATTGTGTCAAAACCACAACCCTATTTGTCATACTTCCTCATAGGTTGTGGTAAAACAAGTCAGGGAAATTACGTATTCATTGATAAATATTGCCCAATCAAAATTAGCCCTGAAATTTTTCTGGTAAAGTTTCAGCCAATCAAATCATTCATTATACCCGCTTTGGGGCAATTTACCATTTTTCTAGGGTTGTGAATGCACCATCCCCCCCATGGACCAGAAAGACAAATATGGAAAAAACACTTACCCTGTAGTCTTGATCGTACCAGACCCTCTCGTTGTTTAGTATGAAGAAAGACAAATTTGTCGTCTGATTTGAAATAATCTTCAACATACTGAGTGTCTGATTCTGAAATTTAAAAAAAAAAAAAACATACAATCAAGACAATTTTGCATCCTTTTCTTTAAAGGGACAATTCTACTTTAGTTTCAGAAACGAGAAATTTTTTAATTAAGCCAATTAGTAATAGTGTTCACAGCTCACCGTTGACAGTTTAGCCTTCAAATCCATGTGTGTCCAGAATTATTCGTGTTTGAAAGTTAAAATAACGACTTGTCTTTTTTTGAGACATAGCAAATAGAAATAGAAAGTGAAATTCATAGTTTGAGGTATTTTTGAAGGAATTTTGCGATTTTTTTTTTTTGTACATTTCTAGTACTTCTGAAGACTATTTACATATATTCAAGACCCAAATCAACTCCCAAAGAGTGAACCTGTCCCTTTAAAAGCTCTACCATGATATTTTTAATGAAAATATTTCAGGATTAAAATCAGAAACATTAATTATCTAAAATAGAAATCTAGAAAATTGAAATTTTAATATTTCAATCAAGACCATTAATTTATTAAAAATCTTGGGCCTGAAATATTCCTAAATATTTTAACAATGGTTGAAATGAGACAAAATTTGAAGTAAAATGACAAAATCAGACAGACAGGCTTGATTGAATTCTGCCTCCCAGGCAAACATTTTATAAAATTTCATCAAATTTCGACAAATTGGTCATAATTAGATTCCCACAATGCAATGGGAAGAAAGCCTCAGGGTGAGAGACGCTCGAACAATGTCATCAAGCAGATGCCAAATGGAGGCTTTGTATCCCGCGGAGAAATAAAAAGACTTCGTCAAGGTCAAATTATAGAGTAATTGCATTGACAAGGTCAAGTTTCATGAAATAATGGCGCCCCCTACTGAGTGATGACATCATGAAATGTTACATGTGTATCAGACAATGCTGGGTTATTAAATACCATGGAATAATTACTTGAAGTGTCTTTGATGGCTGGATATATTTTTTGTCAATAAAAGTCTGATTTTTGTCATCAGATTTGTTTTAGTTTTCAGCAAAAATAACTCTTTTTTTTTTTTGTCATGACTATTTTAAAGATGGGTTTCCTTGTTTTTTAGTGTCAAATTAAGCAAACTATTTCATTAATTGGTGTTACTAATGAATTATCATGTATTCTTAATGATATCATTATTTTCTTATTGCATATAAATAAGAGTTTTAACCAATCATAAATGTTTCAGAGAGTTAAAGATGGGTTTCCTTATTTTTAATGTCAAATTAAGCAAACTATTTGATTTATTGGTGTTTCTAATGAATTATCATGTATTCTTAATCATATCATTATGTTCTTGTTGCATATAATTAATAGTTTTACCAATCATAAATGTACAGTCTGGATAAATTAAAAAAAAATGACTTTTTGTCCTTTCTTGATCAGTCACTCATTGGAATTCTGCTGGTAATTCTCTTCAAATTTAGCTAATTATGAATTAATCATGAACATGTGAGACAAACTGGTATTTTTCCAAGTCATTAGAACACCTCTACTTTCTATTCATATAAGTATTAGCATTTTCATTTTCATAAATGAAAATAAGGGATCTCATCTTTAAATTTTTTTTGGTAAAAACTGAAATTTGTTTTAGTCAAGAAAGATATATTTGATTTTTGTTTTGTGCTCTGGATATACACATCCTCATCAGGACAGCCATTATGTGAATAAATTGTTATCTTCCAATAATGAACTTTAGTCAAATGAACAAAATCACCAAACTCACTTCTTGCAAAAACAAGCAAACAACATCAAATAAATGATCAGAAAAAAGTGACCAGATGCCTTGTTAGGAAGGAAAATAATCCAATTAAAGAAAACAACTAATATAATTCCCAATTGACAGAGTTGGTAATCCCACAGGAAGGGATTCCACTGAAGTCAATCAAAAATAAATATTTTCAAGAAAAAGTTAATTCAGATCAGAAATCTCAAGGGATACGTGCCACAACAACTCACATTCATTCATAACATTTTTATATTGTTCATTGTTTCTTAGAGAAATGTTTTGAGAGATACCGGTTTAAACATATTCATTCATTCATTCATTCATTGGTTCATTTATTCACTCATTTGATCAATCTTTCATTCATTTATTTTTCTTTTCATTCATTTAGTAATTAATTCATTTATTTAGTAATTAATTTATTCATTTAGTAATTCATTCATTCATTTAGTAATTTATTCATTTATTTTTCTTTACGTTTATTTAGTAAATAATTCATTCATTTTTCTTTACGTTTATTTAGTAATTAATTCATTTATTTTTCTTTACGTTTATTTAGTATATAATTCATTTATTTTTCTTAAGTAAATAATTAATTTATTTTTCTTTACGTTTATTTAGTAATTAATTCATTTATTTTTCTTTACGTTTATTTAGTAATATATTCATTTATTTTTCTTCATGTTTATTTAATAATTAATTCATTTATTTATCTTTATATTCATTTAGTCATTAATTCATTTTTTTTTATATTCATTTAGTCATTAATTCATTTATTTTTCTTTAAGTTTATGTAGTAATTAATTCATTTATTTTTCTTTACGTTTATTTAATAATTAATTCATTAATTTTTCTTTATATTTATTTAGTAATTAATTCATATATTTTTCTTTATATTTATTGAGTAATTAATTCATATATTTTTCTTAAATTTTATTTAGTAATTAATAAATTTATTTTTCTTTATGTTTATTTAGTAAGTAATAAATTTATTTTTCTGAACTTTTATTTAGAAATTAATTCATTTATTTTTCTTAACTTTTATTTAGGAATTAATTCATTTATTTTTCTTTACGTTTATTTAGTAATTAATTCATTTATTTTTCTTTACGTTTATTTAATAATTAATTCATTTATTTTTCTTATGTTTATTGAGTAATTAATTCATTTATTTTTCTTTAGGTTTATTCAGTAATTAATTCATTTATTTTCTTTACTTTTATTTATCAATTACTTCATTTATTTTTCTATACTTTTATTTAGTAATTAATCCATTTATTTTTCTGTATGTTTATTTAGTAATTTTTTAATTTTCATTCTATACTTTTACTTAGTAATTAATTCATTTATTTTTCTTAACTTTTATTTAGGAATTAATTCATTTATTTTTCTTAACTTTTATTTAGGAATTAATTCATTTATTTTTCTTAACTTTTATCTAGGAATTAATTCATTTATTTTTCTCAACTTTTATTTGGTAATTAATTCATTTATTTTTCTTTACGTTTATTTAGTAATTAATTCATTTATTTTTCTTTACTTTTATTTATTAATTAATTCATTTATTTTTCTATACTTTTATTTGGGAATTAATTCATTTATTTTTCTTTACGTTTATTTAGTAATTAATTCATTTATTTTTCTTTACGTTTATTTATTAATTGATTAATTTATTTTTCTTTATGTTTATTTAGAAATTAATAAATTTATTTGTCTTTACGTTCATTTAGTAATTAATTAATTTATTTTTCTCTAGGTTTATTGAGTAATTAATTCATTTATTTTTCTTTACTTTTCTTTAGTAATTAATAAATTTATTTTTCTTTATTTTTCTTTGCTTTTATTTAGTAATTAATTCATATATTTTTCTTAACTTTTATTTATTAATTAATTCATTTATTTTTCTTAACTTTTATTTAGTAATTAATAAATTTATTTTTCTTACTTTTATTGAGTAATTAATTCATTTATTTTTCTTTATATTTATTTAGTAATTAATAAATTTATTTTTCTTTACTTTTATTTACTAATTAATCATTTATTTTTCTTTACGTTTATTTAGTATATAATTCATTTATTTAGTAATTAATTCTTTTATTTAATAATTAATTTATTTGTCTCTATAATTCATTCATTCAATCGTTTTCATATTAATTCATTCAATCATTTATGTATTCATTCAGTCAGTCTCTCTCATCTTATAGCCAACAGCTTGGATAATGAAATGAAAATTGACACCAATGATGTTTATTTGCCTGACCATCTGTTAAACACTAAAATCTGTTTAAAATTAGCTTGAGTTCATCAAACACGAAAACTTGCCCAAATCTCTTGAACAAACTAAACTCTTGTTTTTCTCCTTATCAGGTCCCTTGTCAGTTAGAAATCACAAAACTGCAAACTATTTTTAATTGCACACTGCATGGTGTTGCCTGTCATCATTAGCCCAAGCAGATACAGAACAATTGGGTGTTACTGGATGTTGTGGTTGTAGTCTTTATCATCCAGTGATCTATCTAAACAAACTATTACATTATCTGATTTAATGATAAGTCTTGATATCCATGTCTTCTGTCAATAATATATAAATAACATCAACAAAATGTATCCAAACTTTCATTTTATCAAAATAACTCTAGGATAAAAAAAAAACCCGCAATGACCAGGCCTAAGCTAGATAAGGGTTTTCAGGGGGGCCAAAATCTTTCAAGGGGCCCCTCAACTATGTGACCCAACAACACATTCAAATCATCTCAATTTTTCAAAGGGGAGGGGGGTCCAAAAATTTCTGAAGGGGCGCCTAAATTAGATTTATGGATATATTGTGTTATTTTGAAATTCTATTCTTTAGTCATGACACCTGGTAAGTCCAACTGATGAATATATACACTTATTGACCAAGTTTGAGACTTTAAATTGTATATCCATTCTAAGAGGAAGTGTACCTTTAAAACTAATTTGTCATCTGGACTGCAGAAAATCTGATGATTCATATAATATTAAAGGCAAAAACGTTCTAATATTTTTAACACTTCCCCTTTACATCTGTCTTCTAAAACGTTAGCAGGTTTCTTGAGACTGACAAAAATCAGCAATATCACGTTACATTAAACAACCATAACCATGTGACCTATCCCATCATTCCCACCTGTATCAACAGATTAAATATTACGCTGTAACAATATCGGTACTCTAGGGGGCGCTTTGTACTATCATTAAATTCCCATCAAACAACAGGCGTGTTCTTCTTCAAAGTTCGACTCAGTACCACTTCTGAGTA